GAGGGCCGAGCAGCCCGTGCGCCTCGGCTGCTCGTGCCTCTGTGGTAGCGCGGGGCTAAACGCTGCTCCTCACCGCGTGACGGAGCACAGCTGGGCTGTCACTGCTGCGCACCAGGCTGTGGTCGCTTCAAAATGGAGGCTTTAATGGATTGCAGCGATCAGGAGGCTACGATGAGAAAAAGAGCTATAAATATGGTTATGCAAAGTCATCGCCATAGCCAGATTTCACGCTGATCTCATCTTATCTTTTGAAAACTCTAGGCAAGAATAGGCAAGAAAAGTCTGGAACTCCCTGTTCCAAGGGAGGGAAATACTGTTTAGCATTACCTTAGATTTACCGAGAAAGGCTATGGACAGAGATCGTGTCCATCTGTGCATGGCCCCTGTGGAGTCTGCAGATAGTCTTCTCAGGAACGCTGAACAGCAGCAATGATCTAATCATTTAATTTAAGCTTTTAAAAAATTGGGGTTTGTTTGTTTGTTTCTCTCTCTTTAAAGCAGCAGAACTGTGCAGCTTGGATGCTGAAATTGGTTAAAAGTTGTATCACAAGCAGCTTTTTACCTGAAGCATGATAATGCAATAATCAAGTTTAATATTTCATTTCATTTTTTAACTTAGACTGGAAACTACATTTATTTTAAAATTGATTATACAAATTTTACTATACTGTGCCTTGTCTCTTCTGATCGTATCTGCAACTTGTCTCATTACAAATCCATTTATGATACATAAATACAGAAAAGGGCTTTTATTTCGGATACTGGGCAGAGGATGTAATGGGATTTTTTTTTTTTTTTTTTTAAGTCCTGTATGTTTTTTTGAAAGGTTACTTACCATGTTGTTTTTTCCTCTCCTTTCAAAGCCACAGAAGAAAGAGGATCAGCAATTAGAAGTTAAAGCAAGTCCAAAAAAGTCAACAGAACCCACTATTGATCTGTTAGGACTCGGTAAGCAATAGATCCTTCTCTGTTTTTCAGTCAACCACAAGTTCATCGTTTTGTATTTGAACGACTGTTTTTATTTTCTTTATGCTTAGTGATATTGTTTGCCAAGTTTGAAAGCCATAAGGCTGGGGCTGTAATGTTGAGACTGTAAAGGAAGGTGCTGTGGTGATTGGTGTGTAGCGATACCCGCACTTTGCTAAGGGGAGTAACGAGTCCCTGGGGGAAGGAGAAGTTACCAAAGGACCTTCAAAGGCCTTGTGGACTGCGGGGTGGCAGTGTTTGTGGTGCCACTCTGCTTCCAAATGAAATGCTTGCGTTGTCTGCATTGTGTTTCTGTAAAATTATATTCCATCAAATCCCTAAGCTGAAAGAGCAGGAACGTGTCTCCTCACAGCAGCCAGCTAGTGTCTTGTGTAACTTACCATACTGCGCTTCTTAGTGTGAGCTCACTGTGGCCGTCATTCATTTTTATCTAATAGACCTTTTGTTTTCCTCAGTGAGAGGTAACTATTTGTCTTGTAAATAAGTAGTCCTGGAGTCAAATCCTTCAGCTTATACCCTCTGCCTATACTATTGTATTCTTTAAGCTTTTTCTCTGCGTGCTAAAGACAATATTTATAAAATCCATTTTTTCCTGTATTAATATAATATACTATAAATGTGTGTTCCCCTTTAAAAAAAAACTCAATTGGTCTAGGAAAGGGAAATACTAAAATAACTATTTTTAATGTCTTCTATTATTCAGTGTTAGGGATATATGTATTTAAAGAAATAGATTTTGATATATTTGTAGAAAACTTTTTTAACTTTTGGCTTTAAGCAAAGTGTGAATAATGTTTTTGCTTTGCTGCAACATTTTCCCTGTTTTAGAGTTCATACTGACATTTAAAAAATAAGCTTTTTTTCCTCTTTGAGTGTAGAGGCACTGTAAAATACCATTATTTTTATACTGTTCATGTTATCCCAACTAATCTGCTGTGATGTGCAGGCAAATCTTAATTAACACAGTAAAAATTAGATTATGGATGTAGAATGAACCTGCTAAAAAATAGTAATTCAGACTTGATGGAAAACTGGTTGTCTTATATTTTTCTCTACCAGCCCAACAAGCTAATTAAAAAATAAAATGTAATCACTATGTGCTTCGGAAACTGTGAGACTTCTTTATCCTTTTAGACATGATTTGAAAAGGATATTGATAACATATGGTTTTATGATACGATAATAAATTCAAATTACATAGACTAACTTCGTATTTTATATGAAGTAGAGTGCTGATAGTGCTGTTCAACGACTGTGCTTTTTCAGTGAAAAAAAAAGCATAATGAGATACAGAAAGGGAGGTGTCTAATTTATGTTGAAGCAAAGCGTGGTTTTAGAGGAAGGAGGTTTTAAGATCTCCTAAACAAACTGAGATGCAGTGCAGCAAGCTGGTGTCAGTTGGAGTCCCCTGCGCTGCAGAAGAGCAGCGTATTGGTGACAGTGTTTTTCATTTGGAGGGTTTTCTAATGAATTCCTGCAGCAGGCTGCTTGTTCCTAATTTATCGAATCAAATAGTATTAAAAGAAAGACCACTTCCATACAGTATATTCAGCTCATCAAACAGCATTAAAATGGATGTGTTTGTATAGTTTGTTCTTCATATCGAGTGGGTACATTTCTAATGGTAATGACTCATTCCCACAGGACTCAAATTTCTGCAAATGAAGCCCAGGAGTATCTTTTACTGGGGCAAATTGTATCACTTGTTGCAGCAGGACAAGTAATTTTAGTGGATTGTATTTCGTGCTAGAAGAATTTTGTCTTTCAGGCTAACCGAACCTTTTGCAAGGTGTCCTTGGTTGGTGTGTGGAGTTTGTGGTGGTGATTTTACGTAAACCTCAGTGCTTGCAAAAGCACCTTTGGGTGCAAGATAAAACTCTGAGGTCTTGCTGTGTGGGTTTGCTTATTTTTCTCAGCTAGGTTCTAGTGGCATACTGTCAGAATAAGAAAAAAATGCTGTGAAATAGGACTTACACTTAGGCAACTGATGGCAATTGTAGCTTAAAAAGGTAATTTTCTAAAAATAAAATGGCCTTTCTTTATAAAAGGTGAAATTCTCAAGCTAATGTATCTAGGAAAATGTATCTTTAAATCCTGTAATAGCAGAAGAGGCATGATATCCTTGGTGCCTGTATTATCCCATTTGTGATTCTTCTGAGTCCTCTTAAATGGATTCATGTGACTCCCTTGAGTCCCTATTCAAGGGAATTTATTGTTAAGATAGTGCTTGGATATTGTTTTTGTAGCTGAGCTAATTTCTCTGAATAATTTCCTCATTCAATTCTTGATGGCCCCTCTACAAAAAATACTTGGGGCTTTTGGCCTCTTATTGGAAAAGCTCATTTTACTTCAGTAATCACCTCACTTTGAAAGGTGGGGAATGTGAATGTGCAAGTTAAATATTCTTCTGACCTTACCCTGTAACCCCAAATCCCTTCCCTCACTTCCCAGGCTATGGGAAATCACAGCCTATTTCTGTAGTCTGAAACTGCTGTTTTTAATGATGCCTACAATTAGTTGGATTTTGACCACACTAAAAAGAAGTGTACGTATATCTCCTTATAGAAAATCTAGTATGGGGATTTATAACATTAAGTTTTAATAGGGCATTGCAGGCAACGCTCTGAATGTCACGGCCTGTAAACCAAAGTTCTTCAGTATTGGAGTCATGGTCTGTGTTACTCGGTATTTGGGGATTTTCTCTTACAAGTTGGGTATCTCCACTTAAGTCAGATCGATGTAAAGAAAGGTTTATTAAAATATATAAATATTTATTTTCTGATTGGAGTGTATATTTTCGTGGTAAATTACGTGGACGTTTTGGGATTATTTGGCAAGGAAACTTGCCTAGAAAAATGTTTAGTTAATATTTTTAAATATATTACCTTACTGAATTATCAGAAGAGGGGAAAAATGCATTTTACATGTTCTGCATCGTTTACCATATTCAAATGTGCCATTAATAAACCAGATAATTGCACATTCTGAAATAATCACTGTAGTAAATTATAATGAATGACCAGGGGAAAAGACTGAGAATTTATTATAGTGTTTTACTACTTTTTTTGCTTTTAAGAAACTCTTGGTTATAATGTAAGTAAATAGGGTGGGGCAGGGTTGGGAGACAGAAGCTTCAGTAAAGCGGAGTATGGCCACATTACAGAGCTGGAAGGGAAGCTGTGGTTCAGGGAATAGAGGGGCACAGGACGTGCATCTGGGACAGATAGAGGTGAAGTAAGATATGCCAAAAGCTGTCCAACTGCTTGGAAGAGAGATTCTGAGAAATGGTAAATTTTGAGAGCTAAATCATAGCATGAGAATGCAACTGAATGGTGCGTGTCTGAGAAACGTATTGTTGGCAGTACTGTCTGGTAAGTACTAAGTAGCAGCATTGGTCTTATGTTAGAAAGCTGCACTTATGAAATAAAAATTAGAGCTGTATAGATAACGTATATATGTGTAGATACATTTAATGTAATGTATAAACATTTAATAATAATGTTGCTTTGTTAAGGCTATGCTTAGATAAGCAATATATCTACCCACAAGGTAAATAGCTGCAACCATTTGAGGCATAAAGTGTTGAGAGCTGTCTGGCTTTCCAAATTTTATTTTGAGAAGTACTGTCTCGAAACAGGCTTCCTATGAACGCTTTGCTGCTTCCTGCAAAGGCTTTATAATGCAGTAAATGGTTCCCAAAACATTTGGAGCAGACTGTGTTTTTATCTGTGTCTCGGGCATTTAATGTATGCTACTCTTCCTCTTGTTCAGGTCATTTAGTGGGATGAATAATCATATGCACCCAATAGTTTGCCCCACAGAAAATAGGGGTTTCAGAAATGTGGTGCAGAGTTTAAGAATAGATATTTCCTTGTAGTTTCTCTTTCTTGCCGATCCTTCGAGTCTCTCCTGTAGGTCATCCTGGCTGGTGGCCCAGATAAGTGCAGCACGTGAAGTGCAGCTGTACGTGAAAGCTCGGGGAACAAAAGGCAATTCTGATGTAGAAACTGTCATGTCAGGTACTAAGAAAATGAATATAGAGAAAAACATTATAAATGTACCCCCCAACTAGCAGCCTTCCCTCGCTAAATGTGTCCTGGTAAATAGCTGCTGCTCCTGTTAACAAGTTCATGTAAGACTTCCTCATCCAAAAGCAGAAGCAGCATCTGTTGTTGCAGAACATGGCAGTCAGATGTGATCTCTTGTATTTCCATAAACGTAAAAAGAGAAGGAGTAGCAGATGGATCTCTTGGTTTGGTATCTAATAAATATCTGTTTTCAGACACAGCTTAGGAACAGCAATGCAAAACATAAATAGCATCTGTTTATTTTTCCCATCACCTTCTCTGCGTGCGCAGGAGAGCTGTGCCTTGCGTGCAGCCTCGCTGCAGCGGTGCTGCCACAGCTCGCGCTTCATCCTGAGGTAAAACCAGACAGATTTTCTTGTGTGAGAAGCACAGCCCTTCTTACCAGCCATTAATGGTAGGCAGCAAAACTCATTCAAACAGGGATGTACTCTGAGTAACTTGTAACTCTTCCAGAATATTTTTCTTTAGAATCCTAGAATCATTATGGCTGCAAAAGACCTTTGAGAGCGAGTCCAACCATAAACCCATCACCACCATGCCTGCACCTCATCTACACGATTCTTGAACGCTGCTGCAGATGGTGACTGCACCACTTCCCTGGGCAGCCTATTCCAATGCTTGACTACTCTTTCCGTGTAGAAATTCTTCCTGATATCTAACCTGACCCTCCCCTAGTGCATCTTGTGGTCATTTCCTCTTGTCCTATCAGCAGTTATTTTGGAGAAGAGATTGACTACAGTCGCTTTTCAGGTAGAGTCTCCCCTGAGCCTCCTCTTCTCCAGACTAAATAATCCCAGCTCCCTCAGCCGCTTCTCATAAGGTCTGTGCCACAGCCCCTTCACCAGCTTCATTCCTCTCCTTTGGACACACTCC